ACGGCGAAGCTGCGGCGGTGGCGTGCCCCTGCGGGGAAGTCTGGTGCGTAGCCCTGTGTTTGTCTGATACGTTTCTAAGTAGAAAGTCTTCCTTGATGTGATGGTTGTCTGACGTTTTTTGACGTCGTGAATCCATCAGGAGATAGCCATCTGCCAGGCACTGTTAGGAGAGAGCCGTCTTCTAGGCATCTTCCCTGTCGTTGTCAGTCGTGACAGCATGTGCAGCCTCAAAACGGGCAGCTGGGCTCTCCTGCGCCCTGGGGAGCTGGGCAGGAGCTGTAGGGCTCCAGGGCTTTTAAAGCCTCCGTGAATAAATGTGCCAAACACCACCACACTGCTAGGGAACCCTTGACCTGAGCCGTAACACTGACCCGTACGTGATAGCACACACCCTGCTTTCCCTTTTTGTTTACCTGGGGAAACAGGGACCTGTTTACATGTTGCCTTAACAAACAGGACTTGCATCTAACGTGGTTGGGATTTTTTTTCATGTCACCTGCACCCCGGGAGACACACGGCCTTTGTCTCTTCCCGGTCACCGCCTGCCTTGGCAGCTTTCTGGCATCCCGGCCAAGCAGGGGAAGGGAAACAAAGGTGTCTTGCCTCACCACCGCCTGGTTCTCGTGGCGTTCGTGACGGTAACAGGCTGTTGGCTCTTTCCAGGTCCCTGAGCGTGAGCAGCGTTTCTTCTGTCTCTAGTGCCTCCTCCAGCAGCAGCTCCGTACGCAGCGCCGACTCCGAAGACATGTACGCGGACTTGGCCAGTCCCGTGTCCTCAGCCAGCTCCCGATCGCCCACCCCAGCGCAGCAGAAGAAAGGTAGAGGTACCTGGTTGGGTATTTTCTTCTCTCGGGGGGGGGGTCCTGGGCAAAGAAGGGGGGAGCTGAGGTCTTGCGTACAGCTTGCCTCGGCAGTGCTGTGGGCTCCAGGAAGATGGTTGAGCAGAGGCTGACGTTTGTGGGCCTGAGGCTTTACTTGAGGAGGGTGAGACCGTGGAGAAGGCAGGCTGTGGAGCACACACATTCACATCCTTCCATCCATGTGGCTTTGGCTGTCAAGAGGCCTTTTCCTGCCTGGGAGTTCTGCCTGATGCCCCCTCCGTGTCTTACCTTCTTCGCTTTCACCCTTGCGAAGTGGTGCCACATCTTCTGGACAGCTCCAGTGTCGTGTTGCTCTTCCTCTGTTCTTTTTAGACCGGAGCAGAGTCGGCAGCAAGAGCCTTTTGTTCTTTGTCTTTTTACGTTAAGTGTCCTCTCTGCGGGAATTCTGGTTTCCCGACTCTTTTAACCTCGGGGCCACGTGCTGCGCGAACTGGGGTGGGCTTTCCCAGTCCCCGGATCCTCTTGCCGAAGGGGAGGGCAGGCGAAAGGAACCAGTCACAGGTCACCGCTACAGCTGGGCTCTGGTTTCCACAGGAAAGTCAAAAAAAGAAGACAGCACTAAAGAAGAGAAGCGAAAACGGGACGTGCCCGCTCCGCACCTGAAATCGGCCAAGCCCGCCCAGGGGAGCAAATCGCAGCAGCTCCTCCAGACCCAGCAGCCCTCAGCCCCCCAGGCTCAGCAAGGGGGCTTCAGCGCTCACAAAGAGATCAAACTGACGCTCCTGAACAAGGTGAGGGCTCTTCCCTCCCCGCGAGGGGGACCGAGGAGAGGAGGGGATGGATACGGGGGGCTCGGGGC